ATTCCTGATTTAGCGTAAAATTTCCAGTATAATGAAAAACAGTTTCTAAATAGTTAAAATCGTTCACTACCTCTAGCTCTTTCCCATTATATGTCCAATGTTCATTTAACAATAATCCCCCTCTTTTTCTAAATACCATAATTTTAGTTTTTTCAGTATTAACTTCTAATCCCAATTTACTACAATAATCATACAATAGGTTTAAATTTTTCTGCAATTCCTCCTTTACTTTCCTAAAATAACCATATCGTCTGCAAATAATAACAAAATTAATACAGTATCATCAATGACTAAACCAGAATCTACATCATCTTGCAAAAAAAGCTCTAAATCTTCTACGAAAAGTGAGAACAAAATCGGTGACATTATCTCCCCTTGTTTCAATCCTACAGCATACTCAAAATATTCCGAATAGTTATTACAATTTCTAACACATGACTTAACCTTTTGATACATGTCCCTCACTATTCTTAACAATTTACCCTGAATTCCATTCTTATAGAGCTTTAACCATAGTGCACTTCTATATATAGTATCAAAACATTTTTTCATATCAACAAAAACACAATATAATCTCTTATTTTCATTTAAATGCTGTTGTACAACATTAAGTAATATAAATAAAGCATCAGTCGTAGATCGGCCTTTCTTAAAACCAAATTGTGCATCTGATATAATATTTTTTTGTTCACAAAATGTTACAATTCTTTTATTCAAAATGGTGGTGAATAATTCCGAAAAACAACTAACGAGCGTAATACCTCTGTAGTTATTCACGTCATTAATATTAATGTCGACCTTTTTATGTAAAGGGACGATAACTCCTTCGGTCCATTTTTCCGGAAAATAACCAGAATCTAAGATGGCATTAAAAAATATCACAAACATGTGAAGATAAAATATCAATGCTTTCTATAAGGTATTCATTCATAATATAGTCACTACCCATAGTCTTTTTAAGTTATGCTAGCGAGATATGGGTTTTTAATAAAAGTAAAGAAATTGAGAGAGTTCATATTAAATTTTGTAAGTCAATACTTTATGATAAAGATCCAGTAACACAATTTTTTATGGTTTTATAATTATCATAAATATCATGCTCAAATGAAGAATTATCATTTTTTTAAGTTCCAAAAAGCATTATTTATAAAGATATTACCGAATTTAACATTTCATGTAAATAAAGGAGGTAACAAAAATTTATTTTCTATAAAATCTAAGTCAAATTTTTCAATAAGAAATCATTAATGAATGCATATATTATATTAATGATTACATGGAATATGTACAAATATTTGCAGTACATATTTTACTTATTCTTCGATGTTTGAAAATTGTTTATAAACATAATTATATACATATATGTGATTTCACTTAAGTGTGGTATACAACCTCAATTACAACATACAGGAACTTTTAACAAAGTACTAGCATTATGGCTCTTTATGGTGAGTTACGTAAATACCCGTTGTTCATTAACAGATATTTAAGGATTGTAAAATAATGGCTGAACAGTGCAAAGTGTAAATATATTTCAATTAAGAAGATGTAGAAAATAATGTTAAATGATTGTCAAAAAGGCAAGGTAATTTGGATATCTAAAGTAAAATCTGTGTTACAAAATAATGGGTTTTTATATACGTATGTATGGAACAATCCTGATATTATCAATATTGTTACGAGCCAGGCGTAACGAGAAAGAAAAGCCAGCAACAAACTTGTAACAATAACAAATTTATTACAGAAAAATTATTAAAGAAAAATAAAATAACAAATTATGTTTACAAATACCTGAAGTCCAAATAAAAATGTAAATTACAAATGTCTAGTTTGATCCTGGAATAATCCTTTTTGAATAGCACAGTTAAATCCAAGAACACTTTAGAATAAATTCCCACAATAAAATCCACAAGAATAATTTAAACTATTTTAAAAATAATCCAAGCTCCAATAAATCACTTAATTTTCAAGTTGAATAATACTCCAAATATATTGATGTCTTAAAAGGTAACTGATGACTTAAAAGATCACTGATGACTAAAAACGTAATACGAAAGAAAAAATGTCTCCTATTTATATTAAGCTAAGAAGTTTCTAGAATAGTCTTCCATTTTCTACATAAATCATAATCTAGCAACTTCAACAATAAAGATCATTCCGGAAATTTCTATCTAATTATAATGCATGAGTTTTCTACAACAGTTAAGAAAGTTCTAGTACATACATGAAGTTTATGTTCTAAAAATAGAACAATGATAATATTGGAAATACCAACTGGTCAGATATAAATTATATACATGTAATATGTTGCATACATAACAATATTCAAGCGTTTTCTTCATTATTCAAACAAAGACTAACTGACCAGTTTGTTCCGTCATGGACTGCAACATTGTCTGCTAGTCCAAGTTTATGTACTTATAAAATATTTAAAAACTGTGTATTTAAAAAGATTCTAATGCAACAAAACACTTCATCATGCTATTGAATGTACCATTTTACACATTCGTTTCAAAAGCTTTTCGAAGGAAGATTCCGTATCCCTGCCACCGGGACTGAAGACCCAAACTATACTATCCCCACTTCCAGTTTAGCTGTTCGCGCACGCGATTATCATTTAAGACAATTTCCCTTGCGACTCCTTACCTGAAGTCCTCGCTTGTAAATATAGTTATTAAAGGACAATAAATATGTCACTTTTATCTGCATTACATTTCGCCGACTGCTTTCAACAAAATTCACCGTGACATTTATCAGAAAACTATCAGCATACTCGTATATTTTATGTTAAATGATAAAAAATCAAAACCATACCGAATAATGCTATCCAGGAACAACATTTTGGTAGAGGTGATTTATAATAATGCTAAATCTGATACATTTATCATTACCTTCCATTCCTTAAAAAAGCAACCATTAAAATAATAATGCATTATCAATGGATTAGCATTAAGTTTTTTTTATATAGTGCACCTTTTTATTGTGTTGTTTTATACCGTTGCATGTATTTTTTTGTAATTTTTGTAATGTTGTATTATATTGTTTTCCATCGTATTTTATCACTCTTTCTGTATTTGTTTGCATTGTTGTTATGTATATAGGCTTATTCTAAATGTGTTTAGTATTTGTTTTTAATAGCTCAGTATGTAAGCGCAAAACTAATAATTGCAATGTTGTGGGTTTAATACCTACTCATGCCACTAACATTTTTAACAATTTTATTTTGTTTATATAATTTTGCATGTTCTTTCATCTTCTTTCAAAAAAGTTCTATTCATGTTCATTCTAAAATATTCTTTCTCTAAGTAGTTTAGTATTCTAAATTGTTCATTAATAGTATATATATAATAAATGTTTGTACTTCAAGGTGTGTGCTTATTTGTAATATTGTGTTATATTAATATACTAATTGTGTGCATTTGTACCGCTAACATAAAAATATATAAGTTTAAATTCTGTAATTCTGTTTAAAAAATATTAAACATTTAAACATCCTATATTAATTCTGCTGTAAACATTCAACATTAATTAAATTTAAGTTGTAAACAATTAAATTTCAAACTGTAAGTTAAACTTAAAAACATTTGTAAAATGTGTATTGTAAATAATTGTAAGTTAAACTTTACTTTCATTTTTTGTATTATTGTAAATTATTGTTTTTCTTTAATTAAAAATTGTAAAATTTGTTGCTGCGTTATCTTCTCTGTTACGTTTAGCTCGTAACATTGTATAATACGTACCGAATCACATCCTATCATATTGTATTGTATTGTACCGTATCGTATCAACTGCCATATACATGTTTATTGTACCATACAGTAATGTTTGCATCATTTATAATTACCACTTTTATAAGTGTATATGTAGTTTATATAAGTATGCAGGGTATTCAGTCAACTATTCAAATATTATCATTTAAAATTGAATTAATTGAATGATATTTTAGAGAAATGACGTATAACAACTGTTAATATGTTTAATCATTTCTTCATAGCAAAATTGTTGTAAATGTTATCTAAAGTATTACAAAGAGACGTGTCAATTTGTGACAAAGGTAGGCCATGAAGCTGGTATAACTCACAAAACTTTCCAGATATTACCTGAATTGTACCGCAGAAAATTTGTCAGTGTCTGTAATGAAAATTGCTCGAGCTATAAATAGACATGATACATATCTATCTATATAAAGAAGAAAAGGTAAACATTCGTAACACATCAATTATTCCGTGGTATTTTATAGCTACATTAAAATGTTATATTTCGCTTCAATAAAATGGGGAACTTTTTATTTAAACGTTTGTTTGTTAAAAAAACAATACGGATTTTAGTTCTAGGTCGATATGACGCGGGTAAAACAACAACTCTCCATGCATTAAACCTTGGTGATGTTCGAACAACAATACCTACTGTTGGTTATATGTCGGAAACTTTAAACTTTAAAAATCTAGAAATATCAACGTGGGATATCGGCGGCAGAGAGAAAATAAGGCCTTTATTAAGGCATTACTACGCGAGTACACATGGACTTGTGTTTGTGTTAGACAGTAGTGACAGAGAGGGGTATTATTTCTTCTCAATAAAGTTTCACATGTATTGGTTCTTATTGATTTACGCTATTGTATAGTTTAAAGACATGCTTAACACATTTAATCGTGTGTGGTTTTAAATTAAACTTAAATGCCATATTTGAAAGTCATAGGGTTAACTTAAATTTGTGCACAGGAGCTTGAAATTCTATGAATAATTGAAAAATATAAGCAAATAATTGCACACATGTAATTTGTACCACAGAAAAAAATGTTCATTTGTTATAGTTTAAAGTTTAAATCATAAGCATCTTCCGTTTGTAATTCTAATGTAAATATTTTGTTGCGTTCATTGCCAAATTCATGTGAAGTATGTTGTTTTTCAGGTCTTAATCTGGACATATGAACATACGTACATTCATAACGGTAGGGTTTGATACTTTACTTTTTGTCAAAGTTGCTTTCGAATTTCAGGTTTGACCAGACTTTGAAAGAATTATTTGTTGTTGTTAAAGAAGAAGAACTCAGAAACATTCCAGTTCTTGTTCTTGCCAATAAACAGGATATTTCCGGTGCTATGAAACCTGAATCAGTAGTGCGTGAAATTCAGAATGAGCAAAGCATGCGTGATACAAGATGGATGGTGTTCGGTGTAAGTGCTGTCGACCAAACTGAGCACAGACTATTTGAAGCATTTGATTGGTTAACAAATGAAATAACTGTCAATGAGAGACGTTCCGCGGCATCAAAAATGTTACATGAAGATAATAGAGACTGCAATAATAATAACGGAGATAAACGAACCAAACATAACACTTGATACGTTATTGTTTTATTATTTTTATTTTGTTTACATTTTGTCTTCTACTGTGTAATCATATATGGTAATTTACTCCAAGAAACTATTGCAGAAGGTCATATAATTATTAAATATTATATAAGAAGTGTGGCTATTGATATATGTCAAATGTTGACGTATGAATAATATAAATGATCCGAGTACATGTACTGTGTCAATATCCAAACAATCATATTATGAGTGACTGCACTTTACCCAAACAATAACTTTGAAACACTAGGACTTCAAGTAATACCACTTTAAGATTTGTTTAAATATATGTCCACAAATATAACTGGATTATACTTAAAACTCAATGAAATATGTTTACTATATGACAGCGTTTCAGCAAATTGGTTAAAAAAAAACCTGCATTATGTTTAAATGATTATAGTAACTATAAAAACTTAGCAAAATATTTTCAGTACATCGACATTATAGTTATTTAAATGCATACAACATAACATTTATTCCAACATATAGACAGTTTTATTGATATCTATTATGTATGATAATGACTCATAGAGTTGACGAGACTGAATTTTAAAATATCTTAATATACGAAAAATTTGCGTCTTTGAGTAAAGTATTCTTTAATGGTGAGTGTCCTTTATAGTATTCTTTCCACAGACTAACATTTGATAGAAAATGTTACAACATAAAGTATTAAATACGCCATGCAATAAATCTTTCATATATCATATAATAGTAGATACCAAATAAAATCCTATCCATTCCCCTTTGGACTGTACATATTACATCTTACACAAAATATATGACTATGTTAATACAAGAAGAATTAAAAACAGATGGTCAAAATGGCGCAGAACTAAATTTCATGTTCAAGGGATGTGGTCACTTACCGGTCCTTTGTGAAGTCATCCATCATGTGTCTGGTAAAACATTGTTATATTAAAATTGTGTATATGTAAATGTCATGCATTTCTCTGATGACTATAAAAGTTGTTTCATGCGTATACTGCAGGACGTCAAGAGAATATGTTTCAAGAAGCTTTATGTGTTGAAAGACATGACTTCGTTACTTATATATTACCTTTATATTGATTACACAAATAAAAAAGTAAGAAAAAAAACATAAGGAGCACTATGAAAGTATTGACGTGTAACGTTATCTGAACTACATATGCTGCCTCAGATGTGAGTGATTTACTAAAGAAATTTAAATACAATAGCCGATGTCAGAATAGGCTGACACTGTCACGTCGATTTGTTTATAAGCAAAGCAACTATGTGCATTAATATGTTTGATAATAAATCGAAATTACCGATGCCGCACTGGTTGTTAATATTAATTCAAAGGAAAATCATACTGAGAGCTTTAAAAATGTTTCACCTCGTAAATTGTATACAAACCACTACAATAGACTCTGTGTACCACCTCCTTAGGGATAATTAACAGACAAATTCAGCAAAATGTCACCGGACAGCAGGAAGACGTAATGCGATGTTATCTAATTATTGTTATAAATCCTGACTTAGACGACTAAATAATTCAATAATTAGTCCTTTTATAAGAAGGAAAATTATCTCCTAAAATGACAGTACGTTCATTAGTCCGCCTACATGATAACGCTGTCTCGTCTCTTGTGTTATTTAAAACTAAACAGTTCGGATGTCTACTCAGTGTTTAGTTGCGGATTTATCAAAATACCCCGTAGTCTCAAGTACAGCGCCATTAATATTGTTGTGCTTTAGGGAATTACTGTTTTTATATTGCCATTTCAGTTTATAGCTTATCTTGATTATAAATGTTAAATGCCTATACATTGTTTATGTTGCTTCATGTAGTACTTATGGTAAACTAATCGAGCGAAATTGTATTAAATATATTTATATTTACAAGAAAGAAACGATCAGGACTTTTAGAACGTGGAAAAAAACCGTATCAAGGTATTCTGATATCATTTCGTTCATATTTTGTCTGGCGCATTACTCCAAAATTACTTGAGCGATTTTCTTCAGACTTCATACACTGACAGAACACAAGTAGAAGTACAATTATTTTGCCTGTAATTCCCCTCTATCAGATGTAAATGAAAAACTTTGTGCGCAGCATAATTCCAAAAGTACTTTAAACGTGATACACTGACAGAGCACATATAAGTATGAAATGCACTGTTAAAGAACAATAAGTCTTATTTTGGTATATTTTAAAGTTATTCCCCTTTATTAGATTTCTTCTTCTTTTTTATGCCGGGTCAGATAATGGTTTTCCATTTAAACATATAAAATAAATACATGTATATGGTTAGCTTTATAATTTTTGATTATTGTTTTTCAATGTCATTACGATATTACTCCTTTATTGTGTGCACATACCTTCAGAAGCATTAAATTAAAATCTTATACCGATCCCCAATGATTATCCACTTTGACGGGATCTCTGAACAATCGCAACTACTCGGCCCTTTCCGTCAGTCTTCGGATAAGGCCCTCGAACACAATAGTATGAATACACAGAACGGATGCGATATTTCGGTCTAACCTACGCTAAGAAACTAAACATGTAAACAAATAGTAATTTAATGCTGTGGGTTGTTGACAAGTTTATTTCCAATATATGTAGTAAAAGTCCACCTAAAATAAGTGAATTCATAGGTACAAAAGGAAACAATACATTATTTATATATTTATTATTATGGTTGTAGAAACCGAAAGTGCAAAAACCGAACCTGTTGACATTTAGTCGGATTTGTTTAAAATTGAACATCAGTGGGCATATTTAAATTAGACATCTTTTCAAGCATAAGCGTACCGGAACAGACGTTAGATGTCAAATATATACATTCGTTTTACATTATCTCTGTTTCTGTATACATCTGAAACCACGTGGTAGAACTACTTTCAATCGGTATTGTTTCCGAGGTTGTTATAAATAGAAGCCGAGGCAGTTCCGAATGGATCTCTGAACCCACCTCTTTCGATCAAATTGATAAGATATGTAGACTTATCCCACTGCCCAGATATGTAGACTGGTCCCACTGCTCAGAGACTTGCTCGACTGCTCATGTATCTAGACTGGTCCAACTGCGGCGTTCGCTTTTAAGACAACCTACTACCATATTTTTTCATACAAGCATTTAATAATTATTTTCCCTTTTTTAAAATCAAACGATGATTTTTGCAGCAGATATATACATGTAGCTTGATATAATATACTACATATTTTACTGCCGAGTGGAATGATACGACATTTGAATTAAGACGGTTTTAGGAAGAGCCCGCACCAACCACGACACAACATAAAGCACGTTTGCACTCTTGAAGCATAAAGTGACTGTACATCAAGTGCGATAATACTAAAAGAATTAAGGGAAATTTTTGTATTAGTCAATTTATATGCATACAAGCATATGTACATGTATGTAAGGAAATAAGTTGAGTTATAAAATTCCCACATGTCATTTTGGCTTAAATAATGTGTTGAATAATAACGGGACAACAGAACTATGTAGTGCACCAAAATTCAATAATGTCTGTCAATTGATTCAATTTGCAATACAATATTTGTATAAGTAGTTGAGTCCGTCCGCCCGGAAGATTACAAATTAATTTAAAGGTTAGACATTAGAGATTGATTCGCCAACGTATTATAACTGACTTCAATCGCGGCTTTATAAAGCCGACACACTTTTTCGCGCAGTCTCGATTTCTTAAATTGATTATAATTACTGTCACACAATTTTTTACTGACTCAGACATTTTTGTTAGTTACCGTAATTTATTACGATTTACGCTTGGGATTTTAATGGTAGTATAAATATCATTCATTAATCAATAGATACTGCATGATGTCCTAATGGTTAGTACGATGGAATTGCGGTCACGCAGTTGAAAGTTCGAATCTTGTACAAGCTTGTAGTTTACATAAACAGTTTGCTGTTTTATGTTTTGCAATTATTATCTTTCCTTTACATTTTATTTCATAATTGCAAGAACTATCCTTTAATGACCTATGATGGTGGTGGTGGTATTGGTTGTTTTCATTCCGGATCACGGAAGTAAGCCACATTGAACTTACCAAAAACATTTCAGCCACCGCATCGTTCCTGGGCACGCTGTTTAGCAGATTACCAGTACTAGTTACCTTCACTTTTGCAAGGAACTAAAATTTCTGTACTTTCCAGAGCAGAGGTACCAGTGTAAGTGACCGTAGAAACGATTCCGCTATTCCTTTCATTACTTGTTTACGTCAATATTGACATCTTTTTAATAGGCGTGTCGAAAATTCCTATATAAAAGCATACGATTTATCGCCCTTGTATCATAGTTTGGAGACTTTACTGATGAAAATGAACCAGAGTTAAATAGGATACCCATACATGCATAGTGCGTTAACTGGAGTGCAGGTATTAGTTACCCGCTTTCCAGAGCATGCCCAGTGATTGACTCATTTTTCTGGGGTTTACTTATTATAACGACAGAGAAAGGGATAGTGATAGAAATATTATATTACGATTTTCGTTCATTGGTTATTTTTTTCTGGGGTTGCATATTGCGACAACAGGGAACGTGTTTTTATTTCTGCCTATACATATGTAATACAACAGAGAAAGAACATCAAAACACTCGATAATTACGTTCACTCGTGCAAATCAGATAGCCTTTTCTTTTGATGATCTTTCTATAACAAATCTTCCACAACCTTAACCGTTTTTTGTATCATAGTTTTGGGACTTTTCTGTTGAAAATGTGTCAGAGTTAAATCGTATACATATACATGCACAGTGCGTTAACTGGAGTGCAGGTATTAGTTACCCGCACTCCAGAGCATGCCCATTGATTGGCTCATTTTTGCTGGGGTTTACTTATTGTGACGGAAGAGAAAGGGAAAGCGATAGAAATATCATATTCAGATGCTCGTTCATTGGTTACTTTTTCCCGGGGTTTCATATTGTGACAACAGGGAACGTGTTTTTATGTTTGACTATGATACAAAAGAGAAAGAACATCAAAACACTCGGCAATCTGATTAATACTCGGGGGCTACGCCCCCTCGTACAAATCAGATAGCCTCGTGTTTCGATGCTCTTTCTATTACTTATTCAGCATTTCAAAGCGTAAGATGTTGATTGTACAGACCCT